GTCTGTGTGGGGTCTGTGGCCGGCCCAGTCCTACTCAGCCACTGTCATGACCATCTGGCATGGAATGAGGGCCCCGTCTCCGTCTGTGACCTGCAGCACCGAGAACACAGGTGAGCAGAGCCCCAAGGGGATGGGAGCTACAGGGACCCCATCAGGCTCTGCTGGAAGCAGTCTACGTTACCTAAGGGGTCCTGTGTGTTTTTCTGTTTGCTTCGCTTTCTGCCTTCTTTCAAACAGCTTTGTTGGGACATAATTCACGTATCATCCAATGCACCCACTCAAAGTACACGGGTCAGGGTTCCAGAACATCCGCGGTACTGTGCCACCCCGCACCCCATTTCCTTCACACGGAACACTTTCCTTACTCACGCAAGAAAGGTTGCCCCCTTAAGCCCTCACCCCCTGATTTCCCCATTTCCCCAGCAACCTAGCCTAGGGAATCTCAAATTCACCTTTTGTCTCTGAATATTTGCCCGTTGAAGATAGTTCCTAAAAACACAGTCAAGCAATATGTGGTCTTCCATGGCTGGCTTCTCTCACCTGGAAGAACGTTTCTAAGGTCCGTCTATGTTGTAGCACGTGTCGGTGATCTGTTCCCTTCTTTTTGCCCAGTAATATTCCATTGTATGGAGAGACCACATTTTGTTTCTCCGTTTGTCTGGGGGTGGAGCCGTTGGGTGGTTTCCACGTTTTGGCTGTTACGAGTACGTCTGCTATGAACATTCATGTATGTGATTCTGTGTGGACGCATGTCTTTACTTCTCTTGGGTATATACCCAGAGGACCCCTCATGGGATCAGATGGGCGACTCTATGCTTAATCCTTTGGAGCACCGCCCAAATTTTTTCCAAGGTGGTTACACCATTTTCCGCTCATCACTGGGGTGTTTGGGGAAGTTTGAGCCTCTTACTCCGGAAATCGCTGATGGTTTACCTTTGACCATGGCCCTAGGCTTTGCTGCGCTCTCTTAGTCTCTTCCTGTGAATCAGGACCTCTTATAAGATTGTGTCTGTGATCTGGGGAGAGACGGCAGGTCGGGGCAAGGCTAAGTGGATGCTAGTCACTCCTGGGCATCTCTGGGCCCAACTGCTGGGGAGGGTGATTTGCTTAGCAAGCAAGGGCTGTGGGGGACCAGGTCCATGAGGGGAATGGCCTCCCCACCAGGCTGTGTCAGAACCTACCAGGTCTGTTGACAGGTCCTAGTCGCCAAGACTATTGGGAAGCTGCAGCCTAGGGCCCCTGAGGCTGATGGAGGCAGGCTGCGGGCTGGAGTCTGTGCCAAGACCAGGTGTGCAAGGACAGCTCCCGGGAGATCTGTGCCCGTGAGAGCCCAGGACCCAGCCCCACCATCGCGGGCAAGCCCTTCTGCTAGCAAACAGAACCTTGGAGAAGACAAGCTTCCATTCTGGGGAGAACCTGGCATGCCAACAATGCCAGACAGTGGCTTCCCGACCTTGGCACTATTGGCTTTTGGGGACGGATCATTCTTTGTCCTGTGCATTATAGGGTTTCGAGCAGTACCCCGGCCTCCCCCTGCTGGACGCTAGTGCACCACCACTCCAGTTGTGACAAGCCTCAGAGTCTCCAGACATTGGTGATGTGCTCTCTGGGGGCAAAGCGCCCTCTCTGAGGACGATTAGTGTAGGCCGAGGAGGGGCTGAGTCACTCCGGCAACCAGGCTGCCCAAGCAAATGATGTCTTTGGACAGGCTCCAGGAGAAGGCTGGGTGGGAGGTGGGGCTCTATCCAGAGGCTTTCTCCCTCTCCCTTGCTGCTCTCGCATCTGCCCTGCAGACCCACTGGTCACAGTCCAGGCCAGGATGGGGACAGAAGAGACAGGGTGCTAGTAGATGAGGTCAACTCTAACAGGTCCCCACGCCCCCCTCCCCCAGGGGTCATCGTGGGAGCCATTGTCGGTGTCACCCTGTTTCTCGTCCCGGTGGGTCTGCTGATTTTCTTCCTGAAGAAGAGGTAGGATTCTGCATGGGGCTCACTGACCACCTGAAGGGGCGGGGGGCCAGGGAGAGTATAAGGGTCCCTGATTCTGGTCTGACACCCTGGGCCTCCCACTGCAATGTCTTTTTTCCAGGCACAAGAAGAGCCAGAGGGAACCAGCACCCAGGCGTCTGGTCTTCAGGTAAGCGGAAGGTGCTGGGGAACATCTGGAAAAATCGCTGTCAGGTCAAATCAAGGGGTGTTTGCTGGTCACCGGAGAGGTCAGAGGGTGGGCTCAGTGAACCCTCGCACACAGTGCCCTTTGCGCCAAGGATCACAAGCCTTCGTGCTTTCCACACCCTGGGCCGGGGGCTTTGGAGGCGGTCCCGGTTCCAGCTCTGGGACCTCATGCATCCAACAACACACTCGCCGAACACCTCTTACATGTAGGCGCTCTTCTAGGGGCTGAGGGTACAGTGGATTAAACAAAGATTCCTGCCCTCATGGAACTTGCATTCGGGCACGAGAAGTCCTTAACTAACAAGATCCTAGTGGTTGTGACTCTCACAACAGACAATAGAGCAAGAGGTGGGGATAGAAAGGGTAGAAGAATATTTTAGATCGGGCGTCGAAGTTAGAGGAGGTTGTAGATGGGTGTTGAGGAAAACCTGGACTTAGAAGATGACTGAGAGGAAGTCATTTGTGCACAGACTCACGTGCGTGTCTTGGGAAAGGGCATTCCAGGCAGCAGGACCAGGAAGGGCAAAGGCCCCACGGCAGGGGCCTACTGGCCGTGTTTCGAGAATGCTGGTCCGTCCTGAGACTGAGGAAGGTGGTGAAGAGGGTAGGGTAGGACATGAGGTCAGAGGGGTATCCGGTGGGACCAGATCAGCTAGGGCCTTGCAGATACAAGTGAGGACTTTGATTTTACTCTGAGATAGGAGTTCTCGGAGGACTTTGAATAGACTCAGTGACCCGGTCTAACCTATTTATAAGCAAAGGCGAGAGTTGAGGGACAGAGGAAGTGGTATGTAATAACCAAAGAAGACACGATCGTCTCGGACCAGGAAATGCTCAGAGGTAGTCATATTCGAGATACGGTCTGAGTGTTTGAACAGCAGGTCTGGCTCAAGAATGGGCGTGTGGTGTGGGAGCCAGAGAGGGCTCGAGGGTGAGCCCAGCGAATTCAGCCTGAGCCGCAGGAAGATGGGGGTCGCCACTGCTTAAGAGGGAGTGACTCTGGAGGCAGGTTCAGGGGAGAGTATCAGCAGCTCAGCTGTGGACACGTTCAAGTTTGAGCTGTTTGGGCGACCCCAAGCAGAGACGCCTCTGGTGGGGCAGCTGGACGGACAGTTCAAGAGAAGCTTTGTGCAAGTGTTCTCATCGCTCTGAGTGACGCTCTGTGTTAGAACGATCCCCAGGCACTGACAGAGGAGAGACGCGAAGCTGGGAGACCAGCCGAGACGGATTGGACGGAAAAGGAAGTGTGAACTGAGGCAGGGGCGTGAGAAGCAGATGCATGGGGTGTGGGGAAAGGTGATGGCTGGTGCGTCCCTTGCCGTAGAAGCTGTCCTGGCTGGCGTCCCACCCCTGGTCAAGCTGACTTCTCTCCACCTCCGTCTACAGCATTGGTGACAAGTCACGAGTCCAGGCAGTCACTGGGTCAGGAGCCCGGCCCTCTCTCTACGTTGAGCACGTTACAACGTCCGTATCTGTGTCCTGATGTCCTCGTGGTAACCCTCTGGGGTGTCAGGTGCAGGTTTCAGGAGGCGGGGGGCGGGGAGCACACCAATAGAAAGCTCAGGAGAGCGGCAGGAGGAACTAGTGTAGGATTTTGGAATCAGAAGTGTAGAGCTCAAAAGGGAAGCCTTGGGAGCGGACCAAGTCCTGTAAGAGTTTGGTGAGTGTGCAGTGAGAAGATGGGCTTGGAGACGGACCCTCAGGACCGTCCACCTTGTCTCGTGAATGCAGGGAGAGGGGCCCGTGGAGGAGAGGGAGATGCAGCGGCCAGGGGCCTGGGGGTGGTGGCAGCAGGGGAGGGGGTCCAGGAGGAAGGGAGGAGCGGTGGGTGGGGCTACACGCTGCTGAGCAGTCTCCCCAAGGACCGCCTGAGACGTGGCCTTTGGAATTAGAGAGCAGGAGGCAAATGAGATTGCAGGACTCTGGGAGAAGATGTGCTTCCCCCGTGGTGTGCTTCCCCCGTGGAGCGGTGCTGCAGACCCCTGGAGACGGCCTTGGGGAAGTTCAAGCAGCACGGCTGTCTGAACACGCTCTGTTACTGTTTAGGTGCAATAAAGACAAAGGGTGGAGAGGTGACCCCCACGGAAAACACAGGCTATGAGACTCCTGGATCCCAAGAGAGGGGGCACGGGATAGCTCTCAGGGCTACACAGGGAAGCACCCGGCTCAACCGGGAAAGAAGGGGGCTGGGGGTAAGGCGGGCAAGAGCCTCGATCATGGTTTCTGTGGGAAGGAGTGGGCAACAGCGGCCGACAGGCTCGGAGGGAATCGCTTCGCGGACCTCTGGGGCACAGGGGCTGCCCCCGGGGGCCAGGGCAGGTGCTTTGTGGCCCAGAGCGTGAGACCCCATGGAGGAGGTGGTGTGTGTGTGGGTTTAACCACAGCTCAAGACATGGGACACACTGGCCCCCAGCCAGGGTCTCCAAACTGGGTCGAGACAGGGTTTCTAAAGCTGTCCTGCAGGGAGAGGAGCAGGAGGGGGCTGCAGCTGGAGCTCCGTGAGTCAAAAGCCTTTTTGTTCATATAGACAAGAGATTACTAGCATTTACTAGCTAAAGCGAAAGAGGCAGAAATGCAGACGAGCAGGAGGGACTGATGCTGGAGAGGTTGGAGCGAATTGGAACACGGGAGACGCAGAGTGGCCCGAAATGGGAGGAAAAGCACGTTTTTCCTTTTTATAATTAAAAATGGCTTTAACTGTGGTCAGTTACACGTAACATAGCATGTACCGTCGTACCTGTCTCTGGGTGTCCAGTTCCGTGGCTGTAAGGACGTTCACGCTGTCGTGTAAACATCACCCCTGTCCGTCCACGGAACTTTCCGTCTTGCAGAACTGAAACTCTGCCCCCACGAAATGCCCTCCCCACTCCCCTGCCCCAGCGCCTGGCTGCACCATCCACCTTCTGTCTCTGTGAATCAGACGGCTCTAGGGACCTCATTGAAGTGACTCCTCAGTATCTGTCCTTCTGTGGCCGGCTTATCTCACTCAGTGTCATGTTCTCCACACTCATCATGGTGTAGCCTCAGTTGGCATAACCTTCCTTCCTTTCTTTTTTAAAGATTCTAGGGGCGCCTGGGTGGCTCAGTGGGTTAAGCCGCTGCCTTCGGCTCAGGTCATGATCCTGAGATCCTGGGATCGAGCCCCGCATCGGGCTCCTTGCTCAGTGGGGAGCCTGCCTCTCGCTCCGCCTCTCTCTCCACCTCTGCCTGCCTCTCTGCCTGCATGTGTGCTTTCTCTCTCTCTTTCTGACAAATAAATAAAATAAAATAAAATTTAAAAAAAGATTTTATGTATTAATTTGAGACAGAGAGTGAGAGAGCACAAGCAGGGAAAACTGCAGAAGGAGGAGAAGCAGGCTTCCCGCTGAGCAGGGAGCCCAATGCGGGGCTCGATCCCAGGACCCCGGGATCATGACCTGAGCCCAGGGCAGACACTTAACCGACTGAGCCTTCCAGGGGCCCCCAGGATGTCCTTCCTTTTTAAGGCAGGACAATATTCCGGTGCACAGACCCCGTTCTGTCCATCCGTGTTCTGCCGATGAATGCAGTGTTGAGTGAGTGAGCGGGGAATGAGAGATAGTGGACTCCGGGCTGCTTCTGCCTTTGTTCTTTGAATAATGTTGGTATGAACCTGGGTGCACACTTGTCCTTTCAAGACCCCACTTTCCGCTCGGGAGCGGGACTGTAAATCAAACACACCGTTTTGACCCAGCACGTCCCCTTCTGAGTATCCGTGGGCAGGAAACGGGACCGCTCTCTTGACGAGGTATGTGGGTCCCCACGTTCCCTTCAGCCTTATGTGTGCTGGCAAGATTCGGAGACCCTGAGCAGCCACTGATGGGTGAGTGCATACGGAAAATGGATCGTACATGCAACAGAGTGTGATACGGCCCTAAAAAGGAAGGAAATCCTGACATTGGTGACACGGGGAGCAGATCCCGAGGACATGACACTAAGTGAGATAAGTCAGACAGAGAAAGAGAAATTCTGCATGACATCACTCATATTTGAAGTTTAAAAAAGCAAAACTGAGTTCATAGAAACTGAGACCAGAGGGTGATGGCCAGAGGCAGAGGAAGGGGGGCTGGCAAGTTGGGTGAGGGGGATCAGAAGGTGCAAACTTCCGGTTATAAGACGAACGGGTCCTGGGGATGCTAAGAAACACACAACAAGGGACACCTGGGTGGCTCAGTGGTTAAGCGTCTGCCTTCAGCTCAGGTCATGATCCCAGGGTGCTGGGATCGAGCCCTGCATCAGGCTCCCTGCTCAGTGGAAAGCCTGCTTCTCCCTCTCCCATTCCCCCTGCTGTGTTCCCTCTTGCTATCAAATTAAAAGAAAGAAAGAAAGAAAGAAACATAACAATGAGGGAAAAAAAAAGAGGGGGGCTTCTCTGTCTTCCCAAGAGCACAGGACTGGAGGAGCTTAAATTCTGCCCCTTTCCCACAGCTTCTCAGAGGACATTCTGGCAGAAGACTTTGCTGACCATGTCAGGAAAAATGAGAAGGACAGCAGTTTTGGCTTTGTAGAGGAGTACCAGGTGGGTGGGAAGCAAGGGTGCGGAGCTGAGCCCCAATGCCCCCCCGCCCAGCTCAGACCTCCTCACACCCTTTGGGCTGCAACTAAAGCAGGGCACCTGTTTTGTTCGCTGATGTAAACAAGAGCTTCTGTTTTTGCGTCCACGAAATCTTACACTGTGATGGGCCCTCGGGTCAGTCCTGGAGGAGCACCTTTGCTTTCCTCTGAAAGGGTCCCCTTTCTCTCTCCTACCTCTCCAGCCCCCACTATCCCCCAAATCCTCCCAAGTGCTCTGCGGGGATGGGGGCATGCATGCTCTATTTTTGTGGGTGCTAGAGAATTCCAGGGTGTGGGGGTGAGTGGGGTGGTGCAGAACGGGGTGCCTGCGGGGGAAGGTGGAGAGATTCCGATGCACGCTCACCTCCCCTCTGCTTCTGCCTCCAGCAATTGGCTCTGGAGACCCACAGCCAGTCTCAAACAGTGGCCTTGCATCCTGAAAACAGCACCAAGAACCGTTACAGAAACGTGCTCCCCTGTGAGTCTTTGGCCTCTGCTGATTTCATGACTTTGTCAACACCAGTCCCCCACCCCCTATCCCCTAGGGGACACCAAGCTCCTGCCCCTGAGAAGTGGGTACCCGGCCCCTCTTAGAGCTCCCAGTGCCTGTCTGCTGTCTGCGTGACTTCTGTCCCTGGGTCTCTCCCCCACATGCCTCTCTCTGCTTCACTAACCTTGGCTTCTCCCCACCCCCCAGATGACTGGTCCCGTGTGCCCCTGAAAGCCATCCAGGAGGAGCCAGGCTCTGACTACATCAATGCTAGCTTCATGCCTGTAAGGTGGTAGTCCGGAGCCAAGAGGGTGCTGGGCCTGGGTGACATCGAGATGGGAGGGACTGGAGCCTGTTTCCCTCCACCAGGGTCTCAAGAACCCCCGGGAGTTCATCGCAACCCAGGGCCCCCTACGCCAGACGGTGGGTGACTTCTGGCGCCTGGTGTGGGAGCAGCAGAGCCGCACCCTCGTCATGCTGACCAACTGTGTGGAATCCGGCCAAGTGAGAGCCCTGAGCTCCAGCCCACCCCGCTGGCTCAGACACATATCCCACCGTCCACCCTGACCCAGACCTCGCTGAGTCCCTGCCATACGATGGCAGCCTCTTCCGGTCGCCCCAGCGCATCCCTTGGTCCATATAACCCACTGACCTGGAGAAGGGAGGGGTCCCCCTGGCTGGGATGAATGGACCCCGGCTGTCCTGGGGTCTTACCTCCTCACCAGGCACTGAATGCAAGCGCCCCAGTGTAGACGGGCAGCGGACAGGTTGTCCGGGGCCTCCTGTTCTCTGACCTCCCAGTTTGCCCCCAGGTGAAGTGTGAACGTTACTGGCCTCTTTATGCCAAGCCCTGCACACATGGGCACCTCCAAGTGACGCTGGAGGGTGAGAAGGTGCTGGAGGACTGGACAGTCCGAGACCTGACGCTCCAGCACGTGAGTCCGTGGTACCCAGCCAGCCCCATCCTGACGGTCCATTCTTCCCCCAACACGTGCTCTGCACCTCTGAGCCCCTCCCGAAGCCGAGCCCTCTGTCACTCTCCCAGGGGACCACAGTGCCCAGGGACGCCCCCCCCAACTCTCTCCCTCCCCAACCCACCCTCCCTCTAGATGCAAGAGCAGAAAATGTTGCCTGTGCGACAGTTCCATTACATGACGTGGCCAGACCATGGCGTCCCCCACTCCACAGACCCCTTGCTGGCCTTCCGGAAGGTGCTGCGGCAGTGGCTGGACCAGACCACGGAGGGAGGCCCCCCCATTGTGCACTGCAGGTGAGGACCCCCTCATGTGAGGGGAGTCAGGAACCTGGGTCAGTGGGTCCTCGGGCATCTCTGCAGATGGGAGAGAGGAGGCAAGGATGGAGGACACGGAGGCAGAAGCAAAGGGGCAGTGAGGTAGAGGGACAGGAGGTTGGGGTGACAGGACTGGAAGGCCAGGCAGAAAGGTCAAGGAAGGGAACGCAGTGGCGGGGACAGGGAGGGAGGGGTGAAGAGCAGGAGGAGGGGTGAGGACCCAGCGGTTTTGAGAAGCATTTGGAACCCCTCCGACGCTGTCCCGGACCTCACCCGTCGCCATTCTCCTGATACTGAGCTTGATGCCTCTGAGATGAGGTTCTGGGGGGAACCAAGGAGCACGCTCCAGAGGGGCGGACAGCCTCTGAAATGGGACTCTGGCTGCAGGGACAGCCTCGCTCTCCCTGGCCCGCAGGGCAACCTCATGACCAAAAGGGTTTCCTCCCTGCTGCAAAGCTGGGGAAGCCCAGTCAGAAAGCTGAAGTCTTGGGTTCAAGGCCGGTTCAAGGCCAAAGTGGCCGACCTGATGTCTGGGCTGGCACTCTTAAACTCTGCTGAAGTGCGTCCCAACACATGCCCTGTCCCCGGAAAGCACCCCCTGGAGGTGTCCCCAGCAGGGGGTCAGCAGCCCTCCCTCCCCGGAAGCACAGAGGGGCTTGGTACCAGGTACAGACTGGTCACGGGGATTAAATTGAACTGTAAAAAGGAATGAAGTACTGATTCGTTCGAGGATGTGGAGGAATCTTGAACACCTGACGGTGAGTGAGAGAAGCCAGACACATAAGGTCCCACATCGTCTGATCCCACTTGCAGAAGATGTCCAGGATGGGAACCTCTCCAGAGCCAGAAGACAGCTCAGTGCTTACCAGGGGCTGGGGACAGGGGAGCAGGGGGAGCGACTGCTTAATGGGCACAGGGTCTCCTTCTGGGGAGATGGAAGTGTCTGGGAACTAATTAGATCTGGCGGTTCCACAGCATTGTGAATGTCCTAAATGCCACTGAATTGTTTTCTTTTTTGTTGTTGTTTGTTTGTTTGCTTTTTAATAATCAGCTTGGCAGTTCCTTTTCCTGCGTGTGAAATTCAGCTCTGTGGTTTATTGTCCAAATGACCCAGGACGGACAAGTGACCTCATGTCACTCCCCCTCCATTTCCCCATCCCTAAAATGGGTATGCGGGAAGCTCCAACCTCTCATGGCTGGGGGAAGTGTAAAGGGTATGTCAGGCACTTGAGGCAGGGCTGGCAGAGAGATGGAACTCCAGGCCTAATCACTCGCAGTGGCTTTTCACTGCACTCAATAACCCCCACTTACACTGTATCCCCCCCAGAACGCCGTCTTGCCAAATAATACCCCGATCTTGGGTGCTCAAACACAGATCCCTCTGGTCAGCCAAGATTCCCCCTCCCTGTGGCCTGACCCCTTCTTGTTCCTGTCTAGTGCTGGCGTGGGCCGCACGGGTACCCTCATTGCCCTGGACGTCCTGCTGAGGCAGCTGGACCAGGATCAACGTGTGGGGCCCTTCAGCTATGTGCAGAAGATGAGGGAAAGCCGGCCTCTGATGGTGCAGACTGAGGTGATGGGGCTCCTGAGGGCATAAGGCCTGGGGCTTTGGCAGGGAGGAGGTCAAGGCTCACCCCCCTGCCCTGTGTCCCTCCCCAGGCCCAGTATGTCTTCCTGCACCACTGCATCCTACGATTTCTCCAGCAGTCAGGCCGAGTTCCAACAGACAACGGGGTTGCCTATGAGAACCCGCTGTATGAGAATGTCTGAGCCTCAGGAGGGCTGAGATGCCAGACCAGCTAGACTCAAAGTCTGGATCCCCACTTCAGCCCAGGTTCCTGGAGTCCTGGGACAACACAGGGCTGGGGTCCCAGACTCTGGGGTCTTGCAGGGGGAGAAGAGGCCTGGCAGCCTAAACTATTTCCATGGAGGATGAAGGACAGGTGGGAGCAGGTATCCTGGTTATCCAGGAATCCACGTATCCTGGACTTTCTCTGAAGAAGGACCAATGGGAGCTAGGATTTCCTTCTTCTTTGATGGAGGAGGAGGCTGGGGGCTCAGGCTGCAGGGTCTTTGAGAAAGAAGATGGATTCTGAGGAAGGAAGAAATTAGAGTCTGGAATTCTAGTGACCCCAGGAGCAAGGGCAGGCAGGATCCACCCATGTTTTATTCCAGAAACCAAATCAGGCTCCTAGTATCTGAGATTTCCCTGCACCCCATTGCTTGTACGTATTTTCTCTTCTATCCCATGATTTATTAAATCACTATTCTGTCCAGAGACGCTTGGTATAGTGGATTTCTGGGTCTGGGGTGGGAGAAGGGCTGGATTCCTGATATTCAGGTCCTGAGGCTAATGTCCTGGGAGAGAAGCTAGAGGGACCCACAATTAGGCATCCCCCCAAAAAAGTGGATGGTCCAGTCTCTCAGAAAGGGTTGGAGGTCCACACTTGTGTCCAGGGTCTGGGCAGTGCGGACGCCATTTGCTGCAGCTCGGCTCATAGGGTCTTGCTTCCTGGGCCTGGTGCTGGGGAACCTAGAGGGTGGGGTGAGGTCTGGGGCGTATTCACTGGAGACTTTCCGGCTGGATATCTGACTACTTGGGTCTCCGGAGGGAGGCTCCAGGGTCCTTGGACTGGGTATCCTGGCGGGGGTGGGGGCCCAGGTGGGGAGAGGTGGCCTGGATGCCAGACAGCTGGATCAGAAAGCAGAAAATCCTCGGGGACCAGGATAAATATCCGTGGGCACCCTAGTGGTTCCTGGCTGGGGGCGGGACGAGGGGCGGGACGGGGCTCTCCCTGTACCCGGGACCTAACACGCGCGCGCGCGCGCGCGCACACACACACACACACACACACACACACACACACTCAGGAGCCGGCTCCGCTCTGCCGCGCCCCCACCCCACCAAGCGGGGCGATCAGCACCGAGGACAGCGCCACCCGCCCGCGTGCGGGGGCGGGGTCCGGGAGGGGCAGGCGCCTAGGTGTCTCCTGCGAGGGTCCAGTCCAGCCGCCGAGCAGGTAGGAGTCTCTGGGAAGCCCGCCCTAAGCCCCCTCCTCATCCCCATCCCTAGAGAGACGGGGCGTGTGCGGGGGGGGGGCACTGGGGAGGAACCGACCGAGGAAGTGGGAGGACTAGAGCTTGAAATGGAGAGATCGGGATTTAGACAGGTGTGGAGACAAAGAGCAGAGGCAGGGCGGAACAGGCAGGCGGCGAGACTGGGAGACCCCTGGAGTCACAGACCGGACCACAGGCCGAGGACAAGAGACCCAGACCGGGTTGCGGCGAGAGCCCGGTGGGGGAATGGACAGAAACAGGGAGTGGAGAGGGAGGTGCTGAGGCCGAGGCGGTCACGAGGCCAGGTGTGAAGACAGAGCTCGGGATGCGTGGGAGAGAGAGCAGGCCGGGGAGGATGTGCGCCCCCACCCCACACCCCCTCCCAACCCCACCCCGGCGGTGGCACCAGGGAGCCCTCGGCCCTGGCGGGAGAGGGCGGGGAGCCCGAGTCACCGCCCGCAGGGCCAGATGTGCAGGGAGGAGCCAGCCGCGGGCGCGTGCACCGACGCGAGGCCTCCCTCTCCCCACTCTCGCTCTGCGCGGGGTCAGGGGCTGGGGTCCTGAACCCGCGAGGAGCGAGCCTGCGGCGCCTGGACTGGGCATCTGTACGTCAGCCCCGCCTGTTGTCTTGCCAACAGCCCGTTGCCAGGGCAACCCTCGTAGCTCCCGCCCCGCCCGAACCTGCCGCCCGTCGCTCGGGGCAACCCAGGGCCCCGGTTCCCACGCCCGCCTTGGCCCATTTCCGGTTCAGGCCCGCGGGGACGGGCACGGAAGGGATAGAAGTCGGAGGGATTCCTGCGGGGCCTTGGAGGGCGGGGGCGTCCCTGCGGGATGGACCTAGGTCCTGGAACCCACTCCAGGCGCGCGTCCTCCATCGCGGGGAGGCTGACACTACAACCCCCAGCATGCCTCGCGGCTGCTGGTTGTGTCCTATGTGGTCGGCCGCCCAGGGTGCCGATGGGAATTGGAGTTCTTCGTTGTTTGGAGGCTTCAGTGAACGCACGGGCTGGGCGTGGGGGCCTAGGGCTCTTGAGTGTCTCCGCAGAAAGGACCGTAAGACCCCGCCGTCATGTTCTCGGAGCCTCCAACCCCAGGGCCTCCACCGCCCGACGCGCCTCCTGACTCTCCGAGTCGCATCGGCCCTGCCCCGGGTGAGCGAGCCTGGGGCCAGGGCAGAGGGAAAGCTCGACTGGGATTCCCAGGGGCGGGGTTTGGACAGGTGTACTCGGCGGGTGGGCGGGAATATCCGGGTGGCAAGGTAGTCGGAATCCTGGGCTTCACATGAAGTGAAGTGGAAACGGAACAGGTTGACAGGAAATCGAGAACGAGATCAAAGAGTGTGGAATGGAGTGGGCTCTTGGGACGGTGAATTGGAAGGTCCACCTCTGTCTTCTTTTAAAGACAGGGAAACTGAGGCCGGGGGAGGGGCATGACTTCTACACCAGTCAGGGGTTGAGCAGAAACGGGGGTGGAGGGAGAGGTGGAATTAACAGGCAAGACAGTCTGGATGGTGTCAGGCTAGAATAGCGCATCAGATCACGTTATAGGTGAGAGCCGTGGGAAGGAGAACGGGGCGACAAAACGAAGTGGACATGGCCGGAGGGAAAACAAGGCCAGGATTCCAGCTTCCGCGTGTAATTCGGACTGAATCATCCAGCTTGCTTCCTACGGACTCAATGAGTGTTGTCTCCACATCCTCTGCAGTACCCCCCTGGGCCCTGGCCGCAATCGTTCTGGTCTCAGGCCTCCTCGTGTTCGGCTGCTGTTTCTGTGTCTACCGGAAGCGTTGTCGGAGGCGGTTGGGCAAGAAGAGCCAGGCCCAAGCCCAGGTCCACCTTCAGGAAGTGAAGGAGCTGGGCCGGAGTTACATAGACAAGGTGTGGCTTGGCTCAACCCCTCGGCCCTACCCCGTCCTGCACCGTTGGCCCAGCAGCCTCAGTCCCCGCTTTCTTCCCTCCCATGCCTACCTTACTGGCTCATCTCTGTGGGTGTTTAGCCCTGACCCGGACCCTGGGGATCTGGAGATAGGCTGGATTGAGTCCCTGTTCCTGAGAACCACTCTGGTGGGGAAGTCAGACTCTCACACAGACATTCACAACACAGGGTGGTATGTGCCCCGTGATGGGGGCACCCAGAGCGTATGTGGATACAGAGAAACCACCTGATAGCCTGGAAAGTCCAAGGATGCTTCCCAGTAGAGATATCTTCTGTGCTGAGACCCAAGGAACACTCAGAGTTCACCCAGGACAGAGAAGAGGACATTGTAGCTCAAGGTCTGGAATCCAGACCCTGAGGCATTTCACAGTAGCTGGGGCACAGATGGCAAATAGGCTGCCCTCCAGAGTGGGTGTCTGAGGATCTCAGTTGTACATGTCACGAGCACAATTGGGAACCATAGAAGATTCATGTGTAGCCGAGGAATAGGGTCCTATGGGTGGTGGAATGAATCCTCTGGAACCCATGTGGAGGACAGATTTGGAGCAAGGAGGCCAGGGAGGAGGCTGGTGTGGCAGTCCCAAGAGAATGAAAGAACCATGACTTGGAAGAGGCCACCGGAGTGGTAGATGACAGCTTATGGGTGTCAAGGTCTGAGTGCAGAGTGGAACAGTGCTCACCTGGGAGCCGGGAAGTCCCAGGTTCCCAACCCAGAGGAACCACTCCCCAGCTCTGTGACCTGGGGGAATTCACTGTCCCTCTTTGAGCCTCGAGTGTGTGGTCTGTAACTAGTATTTCCTCTCCTCCCTTGTCAACAAATAGCTGTTGTCACGATCACCCATAAGGTAGGACCTTTAGGGTCCTGGTGCCCAACCTCCATCCCTGTCCCTCAAGCCAGCGACATCCAAAGACCACCTGCGTCAGACTCACCTCAGGTTCTTGTGGAAACACAAATTCTGGGTCTTGCCCCAGACCTATCGAATCAATCTGAAGTGAAGGCATTTTACCACATTTCTCAGGGGAATTCTGATTCGCGTTGAATTTTGAAAATGGATGGCTTAGGTTAAGGAGAACTCTTGTTCTAGCTGGGAATGGCAAATACAGAGTAAAGGCACTATTCCTCCTCCATATTTTTCTGTGGTGAGAACACTAGTCAACATGTCAGTTTGGACAACAACCCCAGTACCTCCATTTGCATGTGAAATAAATCTTCTGCATCCTTCTTGTAGGCAACAAGGTGCTATGAGCACCTGCTTTTCTAGTCTAGGCATGACAAGCACACTGCGTGTGTCACCCTGTCTGTTCTCCCCCACAGCAGACATCATTAATCAAATTTTGACTAAATACTGCCTTTCTGTTACTATGACTAGTGTTTGCCTGTGGCAGATATCACTAGTCAAACTCTGACTCTGCTTAGCCAGCAAGTGCTCAGGGATCAGTGAGTCTCCCTTGGCTTCTGGGTCAGGGGAAGAGTTCACCTGCCCTTGCTCCTGGCCCCCTAAGGTGCAGCCAGAAGTGGAGGAGCTGGAGCCAGCACCATCTGGGCCAGGGTCGCAGGTGGCTGAGAAGCATGAGCTCGGACGACTGCAGTACTCACTGGATTATGATTTCCAGAGCGGCCAGGTGGGTGAGGAGGAGGAGGGTGGTGTGGAGGGGAGGGTCCGAGGGTTCTAGCCCCTTTTTTAGAGGAGGCTCCAAGAAGGAAGCTAAGACTAGAGTCCCCTTATCACTTTCAGCTGCTGGTGGGCATCGTGCAAGCTGAGGGATTGGCAGCCTTGGACCTGGGGGGCTCCTCCGACCCCTACGTGCGGGTCTACCTGCTGCCAGACAAGCGGAGGCGGCATGAGACCAAGGTGCATCGGCAGACACTGAACCCACACTTTGGGGAGAACTTTGCCTTCAAGGTGAGCTCCTGGCCTCTGTGCCCCAGGCCTGGCCTGGTAACCTGCCTCCCGTCCCTGGAACATTGGGGAGCGACCCCTTCAACTTTTTCTGGAGCCAGCCCACAGCTCAGGTAGCAGCTTCCAGCTCTGGGGACTATCACACCGGGCCCTGGATTGTCCCCGTGGGGCGCTGCTGACCTCTGGGCTGTTGCTTTGTGCCATTTGGGTTCCAGAGGCTTCCGCACAGCTGTTCCCCTGGACCCTTGCTGTCCGAGTCGTCGCCTTCTACCTGGATGTGCTGTGCCTCACTTCCCGTCTCTCTGACGTCCCACTCTCCGCCTTGTGCTCTCTTCCCTGTGGCCCCCTCATCTAGGTCCCCTACGTGGAGCTGGGGGGCAGGGTACTGGTCATGGCGGTGTACGACTTTGATCGCTTCTCCCGCAACGATGCCATTGGGGAGGTGCGGGTGCCCATGAGCTCCGTGGACCTGGGGCGGCCAGTGCTGGCCTGGCGCGAGCTGCAGGCTGCTCCGCGGGAGGAGGTGAGCATGCGTGGCCACGACCCCACGCTGGGCCCGCCCACCGCGCGCCCGGACCAATCAGATCACAGGCCTCTTGGACCGTCAGGGCTCCAGCCCTTGCAACTGCGGCGGAGGGCTGGTCCCGGCGGGTGCAGGGCTGTGGTCGTCACTGGACCACTCCCTTCTAAGGCGAGGGGTGGGGAGGAAAGGTCCGAGAGGGAATGGATGTGAAGCTGGGGCTCTGTCTTTTAGCAGGAGAAACTCGGTGACATCTGCTTCTCCCTCCGCTACGTCCCCACGGCCGGGAAGCTCACGGTCATCGTCCTGGAGGCTAAGAACCTGAAGAAGATGGACGTGGGAGGACTCTCAGGTGTGTGGGGAGCAAGCAAATGGTGCGGCCGGGGGTGGAGAGGGAGGCTCTGGAGCAAAGGTTCTCGCAGTTTCTGGGTCCCGAGCGTCCCGGGTGGAGAGGGGCCCGGACTGCCGGGGAGGGTGTAGATTTGCTGTGGACACGGAGAGAGCCCTGAGGGGTACACAGGGTGTGTCTGTGCTCTTCCGAAGAAGCGCCTCCTGTATCCTCCTCAACATGAGCCCTGCACTGGCCAGTCGGGGCCTCTAAGACTCCTTTCTCCGCCCAGATCCGTACGTCAAGGTCCACCTGCTGCAGGGCGGCAAGAAGGTGCGGAAGAAGAAAACGACCATCAAGAAGAACACTCTGAACCCCTATTACAACGAGGCCTTCAGTTTCGAGGTGCCCTGTGACCAGGTGCAGGTGAGCTCAGACCTACCCGAAGCCCAGTCAGAGCAGCCCTCCCCGCCGGGGTCCCAGGCCCTGAAAAGCCCCTGTTGCTAGGGGGAGGAAGAACCCATCGCAACTATTCGAAGCCAGGTGCTGGGGCCCTGAGGTTGTGTTTCCAAAGTCAGTTTCCTCTTGTGAGGACCCGGGCGCCCCGCGCCCCAAGCAAGATCAGGATGTTCCGTCCCCAAGCAAGACCCCGGCTGTCCCGCTCAGGAGCTATGGGTACTAAGGGAAATATTTCCCCACAACTCTTAAGGAAGAGGGCCCAGCCAGGACTCTGGCCTGACCCCTCCTCCCATTTCAGAGTCCTGACGGTTTGCCCTCCTTAGGAGGCTAGTCCCTAAGGAGGCCCCCAACGGTCCCTTACCAATGGGGTCCTGAGAGTTCATCTCCTTTGAAATCGGATCGCGGAGGAAGAACGACTCCAGAGCATCCCTCTAACAGAGTCTCTCCCTGTCCACTCCCACCCCCCGCATGTTGGAGTCCGCTGAGAGGCCTTAGCGCAGGGTGCTAACAAGTCCCCCTAGACCTCTGGCTGCTAGGGAGAGGGTCTCTCTGGCAATGACACTCTATCCCCTCCGTGCCTTGCCGCCTTCTCGAACACTCCTGTCTCTCTTCCCCTGCTCTTCCTGTCTCCAGAAGGTCCAGGTGGAGCTGACCGTGCTGGACTATGACAAGCTGGGCAAGAATGAGGCCATCGGGAGGGTGGCTGTCGGGGCAGCGGTGGGGGGGGCTGGCCTTCGGCACTGGGCAGACATGCTGGCCAGCCCCCGGCGGCCCATTGCCCAGTGGCACTCGCTGCGGCCCCCCTGACCGAGTGAGGCCGCTGCCTGCCCCTGATCCCCACCTCAAGCCCCTTGCCAAGCCTGGGCTCGGCCCCTGACCTCAGACTCCTGGCCAAAACCACACCCAGGCCCACCTTTAAGCTTTCTCTGACCCCTAACCACCCCCACCCCACCCCAACCCTTCCCATCCCCCGTTATGCCAATCATGGTGACTTGCCAGCTCTCCCACCCAGCACACACCCAGAAGCCCCAGGGACCCCTGGAGGAGGGGAGCAATCTGGCCTCCCCCAATCCCTGCTCCCACTCTCTGCTTTGACAATCAGTGACCCTGCCTTCTTCCCCCTTCGCTCCCAGCACCCCTCTTCCTGCACAGGATCACCTGCTCCTGTCCCTAGTCGGACTCCTGCACTGCTCCTGGGACCAAATAAATACTCAGCAACTTTGGTGACCTGACCTGGTGCTTACTGGTGGGGTGGGCAAGGTGGGGGTGGGGGGCAAGAGGGTGGGATCACCCAAGGGCAAGGATAGGGCTGCCCATCCTGGGGATACACTGAGGGAAACTGACCCCCCCATCCACGTGTTCACTTTTTCGTTCACATACCCCTCCGAACCTGGGTGTTTTCTTCTGAAAATATTGTGGTCGGAACAATACCTCCTGTATGTTTGCTGTGAAGAGTCTGTGAGAATCACTTACTCATGAGTTTAATCTGCTCCTGCATCCGTGACTTCCATAGATTTTCATGCCCATATTTCCCTCCCTTCCCTTCTTTCTTCCATCATTCATCCATTCTACTTTCCCTGAGTTCTTCAGGGTGGCAGCTTCTGTTGGATGCTGGAACCCCAAGTTGATGCAGATCCAGAATTTCCCCCAAGTGACTTACTCTCATTGCAGAAACAAAGTAGATATGTAGAGTCTGGGGATGAGATCCCCAGAGACTGGGAGAAAGGACAGATTAATGCAGGGAAAAACCAATGGTTGCACGTCTTCCTTCCTTCAACAAATTTTGTCTCCTAATCTGTGTCTAGGAAAGACGATCATTTCATTGCTCCTCCCTCCTCTCATTTCAGGTGGTAGACAAAGGTCTTTGAAATTTGGCAAGAGAGCTCTCTGATCTGGAGGTTAAGTGGAAAATGAGGCAAAAGGTTCCCCCATGTACTAAAGAAAGGGCAGAGCATTAACTTGCACTGAGCTTTCTGGTAGCCAATGGGAAAAGGGAAATCTGGTCAGTTACACCGATTGTAATGTCTATGTGATTTAACAAATTTCTTCAAAGGGATCCGTTCATTTCTCCTATGTGAGTGAGTGAGAGGACATTTTTATGAAAACATCATGAGGTATCACTGTTATTGCTATTTCTGCTACTCCTGCTAACAATGATCCTCACAACCACCTCATGAAGTAGACATGATCGTTATTCCCAGTGGACAAATAAGGAAACTGTGCTGAGAAGTAACATGACCTGGCTAGCATCGTATAGCCAGGAAATTTGTCTATAATTCCTGGGATCGAATTCTGTTCTGAGTTAGATGATGACACTGGGGCCCCTGATTCTGTGTCTCAACAAGAGAGCAGACAAATGAGAAGAATAAAATCATTGCAAACGGTGGTCCATACTGGGCAGTAAGCTAGTGAGAGCTGAGATCATTTAGAAAGGGCAATCAGGGACAGCTTTCCTAAAGAGGTGATGTTGAGCTATGCTTTGAAGAACAAGAAGGAACGAGGCTGTCTAAGATGAGCAGGAACTACAATGGAATATTATTCAGTCATAAAAAGGAAAGTTTATACTGATTCATGCTACAACATGATGAACCTTGAAAGCACGATTGTGAATGAAAGAAGCCAGATGCAAAAGGCCACATATTGTATGATTTCATCTGTGTGAAATATACAGAATAGGCAAATCCATAGAGAGGAAAAAAAGCAGATCTGTGGTTTGCAAGACTAGGGAGAGAGAGAGAAATGGGGAGTGACTGATTAATGACTACAGGATTTCTTTAGGGAATGACAAGAAATTTCTGCAACTAGACAGTGATGATGGTTGCCCAACATTGTCAGTGTAGCAAATGTCATTAAACTTTATATTGTGTGTATTTCACTACAATAAAAATAAGCCAAGATGAAGGGGAAGAGAGTTCCAGGCAGAAGGCACCCTAAGTTGCAGACTTGGTGTGTTCTCAAGAGAGCCAGCCTACCAGTGAGTCCTGCAGGCTGTGCTGAAACCTCAGCTTCGCTCCACAGTGCCCACAGCTCATCCTCAGAAGGGGGACGGCCCCCTTCAGTCCATCACACCACTCACTGCCAGCCGCACGTTACTATTCCCAATTTCCCAATTTACAGAGCTGAAAACTGAGGCCCAGAAAGGGTGACCGACTCGTCTCAGGTTGCATAGCTGGAGGAGATGTTCACTCAAGTCCCTGCCCTTATAGACCTCAAAGACAGGTTAAGTCACCTGGTCGAGGTCTCTCAGCCAGCAGGTGAGGGCAAGACAGAAAGCCAGGCTTATCTGACACCAAAAGCCACATTCTCCAGGATCCTGCCATCTGGTCTGAATATGAAGTGATGAGAGTCACAGGGTGTAGATTGCAGTGGCCATTCTTCTGGGAAGGCAGGAGATTCCCCTGCTGGACTTGGACATTTCCAGGGGCAGTGGCGGGAGGTGGGGGGTGAGGGCGGAAGAGCAGAAATTGGAGGAGCAGAGGGGACAACGCAAAGAATTCAGACGCAGAGGCCAGAGAGAACTTGGTGTGCCTCCCATGAATGTGCCCTTACCCACTTTCTGGAGCCCTGCTGCATAGTCTGCCTATTTCTGTGGTGTAAATACTCACAATGGGGCTGATTTCAAGCCACCAATGTGATCACTGAATATGGAGTCAAGAGGAGATACCTATTAGTATGCTGTCATATAGTAATATAGTATTTCCCAGGGTCAGGATGAAGGTCCCAAAATTTAAGGCCAAGCTGATGACAAACTAAACCACCAATCATCAAGATAAATAGTATTTTAATACAGTAAGAATCAAAATTAACACACACACACAGAGATCCATGACGCATAAAATATAAAAATTTTAAAGATGGCGTCTGACTCTGCACTTGGACCGCTCTGCTTCACCATAATCCCGGCCCTGATTCTCATAAAATTTTATTTAGAGAAATAGTGGTCATAGTGTGCCAGTTAGACTTTTTAAACTATTGCGTTAAAATATTATTTCCTTCATTTGGGTACAACAATTGATGTAAAAAACCTTAAGACCATCAACAACAGGAAAGTATAGTAAAATAAGAAGTGATGAGTTTTGAGTGTATATTACTTTATTTTAATGTAATGCATTAGTAATTAGTAAAATAATTTAATTTTTAGTAATGACTGTGCGTGACAACCAGGTCGCGAAATTACTGACACTTGAACAACTAGGGGCCAGTGTTAGCTAGCCCCAGCCCTTTGCTGCCTTTCCCGCCTTGGTGGTAGAACCACGGTGTGAGGTGGGAAGGGGACTAGAGGTCTAGGCGACATCACTTTAATTTGAATTAATCAAGATTCTGTTCCTTTCTAGGTCGATTTGAGTCGACCCAGACTTCCCCATCCCAGAAAAGTGGATCGTCCAAGGCCCCGCCCCCAACACCCCAGCCCCGCCCCTTTTTCCTCCTTCGCCGTCGTCATGACAACCGCGTCCACACGCCCTCCACTCCCGCGAGCGCTCCCATTGGCCAAAAGTTCGTAGCAGGCCGGTCCCACTCGTTCCTATTGGTCAGTCTATCGCGCCTGTGCCAACCCGCGTACTCCCATTGGTTGACTGGTCGAAAAGGAAGGGGCTCTGGGCAGTTGTGTGTAGCGGGTGTAGAACAGCGGCGCAGCACGGAGCAGGGAGGGAGGGGGCGTCCCGGAGTCTTTGGAAAGAGAGAGGTGAGGGAGTGTCCCAGGGAGGAGAGGGGCGGTGAGAGGGGCATGGGTGGGCGACGCAGAAACGGTGGTTTGGGACTCCCAGGACATCTGTTCTGCAGGGCGATGACCACACCGGCAGGCTCGGGCGCAGGCTTCGGCTCCGTGTCCTGGTGGGGCCTGTCCCCGGCGCTGGACCTGCAGGCTGAGAGTGAGTCCCCACCCAGGACCGCATCTGACGCACCCTGGCAGGCGGCGCGCTAACGTTCTCCGAGGCTCCAACGGTGGAGCCGCCCCTCATTGGGCTGCCCAAGTGGCCTCTGCGGACTACGATTCCCAGAATGCTTAGAGGCACAGCTCCCTTAAGAACCTAGGCCAAGAGTGCGAGTCTTGCTGGGAGTTGTAGTCCATCGTTCTGGGGAGGCTGCGGGGGGGCGCTCTCCAGGCCACAGACCGCAGCCTGTGCCATCTTGCCAGGTCCTCCTGTGGACTCGGACTTGCGGGGCGATGCAGAGCCCAGGACCCCCGAGCTAGATGTACTGCTGCTGGGATCCGTGGATGGGCGGCACCTGCTTCGGACCCTGGCCCGGGCGGCGCTCTGGCCTCGCAGGAGGTTACATGTGAGCTGGGATTCTGGGGTCGTTGGAGGGAGGAGGATGAAGATGAGAGCCCAGATACCTGAGTCCTTGAAGGAGAAGGGAAGTGGTGGCCTGGACTGCTAGGTCCAAGGGAGGTAGAAGCTGGGGACTCAAATTCCTGGGTTGTGGACTTTTGGGTTCAGCTGGGACGAAGACTGGGTGTCCTGAGTAGTGGTGGGGAGGAGGGTTCTGAGGGCCCATACTCCCCTGTTTGAAGGAAGGAGGCCAGTGTGCAGAATGCCTGGACCCTGTGGAGGGAGGAGGCTGAGGTCTTCCATTCTTGGGTCTCCTGGGAGCCAGGGACACCAATCTCAGAATCATTTTGCTCTGTCTTTCCAGTTCTATGTGCTAGAGAATAATCTGGAAGCTGTGGCTCGACACATACTGATCTTCAGCCTAGCTTTGGAGGAACCTGAGAAGATGGGGTTGCAAGGTAAGTTGCAAAGCGCGGGCTATTCTGGCCGCCAGCCTCTTCCCCGTGCCAACAGGGGTTCTGGCATTTCGATGGTCTGGATAAACGTCCTGGTCATTGTTCCCACCTGTGCAAAAATATACTACCTCCTAGAGCCGCTGAGAGAATTCCAGGAAAAAATCCACATAAATTCTCAGGCCCGTGCATGAC